CAGGCATGGAGGTGAGTGCACCCACTTTTTTGTTAAAGCATAAAAAGCAAGGAAGAAAAGAAAAAGTTAAAGTCAAATCCCCAAGCTTTCAGGTTTCATCTTCCAGTCAAACACCAAAGTTGGGTTTACTCCATGGGATTTTGTGTTTTGTTGAAACTATTTCTTCTGTGACAGCTGCTATACCGCTGGGGGTGGGTGATCATTTGAGTCTAAAATTTATTCTACAATTTCTTTAGCCAAAGCAGGCCCGTCTTTACAATCCACATCTTTATTATTTAAATCAATCCAGTAGGCAGAGAGGAAGTATTGACTCAGTTAAAATGTATGAGATTTGCATAGTAAAGGATGGCAGCCACGTTATTACCATAATAATATAGAATTGTCCTGCAAATATACTTGGAGTTGTGAATATAGCAATATTTTCCATCTGAAAGGGCCATTTTATATACTCTGTTAAAGCAGGAGCTAGTCAGACTCCCATGGAGAACTAAAGAGTTTCCTCTTAGGAGCAGTGTAACTCCATCTTCTTTAGTATCACCCCCTTCTCTGGCCATCCTATCAGAAACCTGCACAATCTCTCAAGAGAAGAACTGAAGACAACAATGTTCCCTGATTGGTGCAGGGAGTGGGCACACTTTCCTGGATCTTTGTGACTGACAGGTCATGCCCACTTCCCCAGCCAGCTTGCCACTTCCCAATCTCCTGCACCAATGTTGTAACTCCATACATTCCACAGTTTCATTATCAAAAAAAACAGCACTAAATTGCCATGCATGATGGCTCATGCCTATAGCCCCAGCATTCTGGAGGTTGAGGCAAGGGAATCATTGCAAATGCAAGACCAGCCTGGACTACAAAGTGAGCTCAAGGCCAGCCTAAACTGCATGGTGAGAACCTGTCTCAAGACAAAAAAAAAAAAAAAAAAAAATAGCACTAGTAGACATCAAGCTCTCCAAGCTTCAGACTCATGCAAATGGTTTGTAATTTAACCTAGTTGATAGTTTTTGCTTTAGCCCACTAATGGATGACAAGACTTTAAGGAAACAGACTCTAGATAAGAGTTAAACTTCCCAAAAAGTAAGCACCCTGGGTCACTCATTTTGAGGATAGAGTGCTGTCTCAGCTCCAAATGCTTTCGTTTGCAACAGTTTGGTTCACAAACAGAAGCATTTGACAAAATGTTTTTGTTTGCAAACTACATCGAGTGACAAACAACCTCAGCCATCTTTCCTACACAAACACAATCTAGTCATCTTTTCCAAAAACGTAGAACAAAATAAGATCATGAGCCACGGTGTCATTCTACCATGAAATCACATAATGCCCCAACCCTGACTATGGTACCACAGCCTGAGTGTGTACTTTTTTCGTTCTGATGAGTAAATCTGCCTCTTCCTGTCACTGACACATGCTGAACTGCTTTTCCAATGCAAGACTAGGAACCTACCCCAAACTAAGGTCTCCTTCCCCTCTATTTAGTTACTTATTTATTCCTGGGGCAAAATATCTGACATTGACAATTTTTTAATTTTAAAGATAATAAAATACAACAGAACAAAGCTAATCAAAGCAAAGCAGCAAAATTGGTACAGAACTTCATAGGAAAACAACAATAGCTACCATAGTATATGTTGTTATCTTTACAATGGTTGTACATTCCATCAGGTGTAGCAAAATCAAACCAAAACAAGACACAATAAAATCAATCAAAACAGAATATTGAATAAAGCAAAACAATCAAAACAAGCAAAAACAGTGAGAAAAATATTAGATTTGAAAGGCAAGATAGAAGAAAATTCCCCATATTTGCTATGTTGCATACAGTCATCCTCCCAATAGGTGCTCAGACCGCTGGCCTTTGGCCTGCAGAATCAACCAGATAGTACAAGCGTTTATTTGCTTTTTGTACCTTAGTTGCTATCAACTCAGCCTGTCCTCCAAACCAGTGGGTTGCTTACTGGGAGCCGAGGGGTAGGTTGTGGGTTTGATTTACAGCCTGCCTGTTGGTAGGCTCATGGGAGAAGCTATCATCTGACTTTTCTCTTCCTGGAATCCCCATGGCTTGTGCAGCTTACCAGAAAGGCTGGCTAGTTGGCTTCTTGGCTAGTTCCTCCCAGTCCCAGCATGGCCAGTTCTCAGGAGGCATTGACTTTTCTCTTTCTCTAAGACTGACCATTTAAAGAATAGATTTATTTTAGCTTGCCACTTACAGATTTCAATCCGTAGTTGGCTGGCTTAACAGCAGAACAGTATGGCAGACAGGCATGGCAGAAGAGTGACAGTCCATGGCATGGCAGGCAGGAGGCAACAAGGCTTCCTTCTCCTCACCTTTCTTATTCCATCCAGTCTGTAAGCCTATTGGTTGATCCACTCACACCAGGATGGGTTTCTCCTCTTCAGTAAATTCCTTACCCACAACCAGAACTATGCTCAGCCAAATGAGTGGACTGATCTACTGTCACACACTTGTGATCCTATATCACATACCTGTGACCCATTCACTCCCAAAAGCCCTGCCTGTGAGTGCAGGAGGTTTGGAGGGCCCATCTAGATAAAAGTGATAGCACTCTTGTTGGGGAGGAAAGATCTCCTTAGATTCTGTTTAGTGATAGTTGGGTTGTAATATAAAATATGCGAAAAAGGGAAAAACTAGTGGCTATGCACAACTAGAATTTCCTAGGTTGTTTGTTTTAATTTATAAGAATAACCCTGAGTTGTTTTTAAATTGGCTTAAGCAAATGGTGATCAGATACAAAATCTGAAAATTCTCAGTGCTTCTTTAGATTAAAAGACAAAATTATAACAATTAATTTTACAGGTCTCAATTGGCTTTGTGATTTCAGAATTGGGTACCAGCCTGGAACCAAAATGGTTCCGAATACCCCACCCTACCACACAGGACAAATGGGATTCTCTTCAGAGACAAGGAAGTGATCTAAAGAAAACAGAAGCGGGATCAGCAACCTGATTCCTCCCAGCTTGCTTTTGTCTTATTTGAACAGTTGGCCTCTTGGGACTGGCTGAGACCTACTCACTGTCATCACAGTAGGTTGCACTCTGTGTGTCCTCAAGTTAGGTCACAGTTCCCCATGACATAAATACCTGCTAGCCAAATTTAAAATCTGGAAGAAGGCAGTTGCAGAGATCCATCGAGGTGAGACTTCTCATGGCAAGGTCGCCAGTGCCAAGTCAAAAATTGAAAGGAGGCCAGGAGAAGATAAGCCGTGGGGAAAAGTGAATGAAATACTGAAAAGATATCATCACATTTTCTCTGGTGAAAAAAATTATTTTGTCTTTGAATCTTGAAGACACTCATTGCTAACAAACTTATAACGTCTTCTTAGAACCTTTTAATTCTCCCCAATTGGACCCTGTAAAAACACGTAAGTTGTAGTATGTTCAAGGGCATTCCATTACCAGGAGGAATACAAAAATTAATTAGATTCTATATTTTAAATTATATTAACTTTTTATTACTAGTCTGTGTATATAAATATACTTATAAAACATGGAGACTTTCTAAACTCATAGGTATGAATATATGAGCATTGAGTGCTGAAATGCACGCCTATCGGACCCCTGGCCAAGACGCCCAGCTGCCTGTATGAGGGGTACGGTGAGGGAGAAAATAAGAAACAGAAACTAGTAATTCGTGATGGGGAGCTGGGAGGTCAGTGCCTCAGGAGGGGCAGAGACCCAGATCCTCCAAACCAGGCTCTGTTTATTGGGTGTGTACAATGCAATGGGTGTGTACGGTGACAGGAGGAGCTAGCAGGAGATTCCAGGTCAGCAGGAGTCAGAGGTCCATGACATTGCAGGCACCGGGTAATCCAGGGATGACTCAGAAGGACAGAGGTGATCTTACGCTATGAAGGACTTCACCCTGGAGTGTTCTTTTCATCTTAGTTTTAGTAGGCGGGAGAGGATGGCCCATCCTAAGAGTTTGGGAGATCTGAATAGGGTGATGCCATTTTCCCAAGCCTCCATTCATCTCTTCGAAAAAATTAGCCATTGAGAGTTCATGGTTTCTAGTACCCGCTACCCACTGAGACCAATTCTTCACAGACACATATTAGAGAACTGAGATACAAGCAAAAAGTTTTTTGTGGTTTTAACTTAGTTTTTACTTAGTGATAGAAAAGCTAGGTAACTTTGATAGTATTCAATAGAGTGGTCTCTCAGTGTGCGGGCTGTACTGTCCTGTGTCAAATATCACACTGGGAAGGGTCCTGAGGAAAGACTGGGTCAGTCTACTTCTCTGCTTATATGTTAAACACATTTAAAAAATAAAATATATCCCACATGTTTGCTATTTCTTTCTAAAATATTTTCAAGGTCTTGCTGTCAAAAGTATATTTTACTTTAAAAGAAAAGTGCACATTGTCTGTTGATTCCAAGAAAAATCTATGAGTATGAAAGTATTTGCTTCAGAAAGAAGAATTTGCTGTAGACAAAACAAATTTTTAAAATACATAGCTAATGCATGAGACCTTAAGGAACAAAGTGACGAATTCAAGAAACAAGGAAAAACATACTTAGATAAATAATGACAAAAATATGCTCTTTATGTGTCATACCCGCCACCTCCTCCGTCCATTTGCCTTGCCTTAATATTTTCCTGCTGGAGTAATGGCCAGCATCACCTCTTGGAGTTGCTCTTGATTAGAGTTCTGTTCACTTTGTGTTCACAGAGCTGGGTTATGTCTTCTGGAAAGAAACCCAAAGCAGCTCTGCTGGGCTGAGGGTGCCCATCTGTGGCCTCACAAGGCTGCTACTCTCTCTTTCTGAATCCTTCTCAGTGGGGTCTTGTGGGGGAGCGCTGTGCTCCCCAGCTGTGTGGAACCAGACATTCTGCAGGTGCATGGGTGCAGGCCTGAAATCTCTCCAGAAGAGCAGGAGGTGGGCCTTGTGAGTCACTGTGTACAGCAATTCATTGCTGCCTGTCGGGTTCCATTGTCGATGTCCGCTCCCAGCCGGCAGGAAGGACACACGACAAAGTCTGGTAGTGGAAAACCTTTTCTTTTTATTTTCCTTCTCCGTACAGCCTGCCCTGGGTTCTCCCAGCTGAAGCCTCCTCTGGTCCGCTCCCCGCGGCTCCTTTTGTGCTTCAGTCTGCCCCAAAGCCTCTACCGGTCCGCTCTCCGCGGCTCCTTTTGGGCTTTTACTTCTGGGCTTCTACCTGGCTTCTTCTTCCGCCCAGGGGTGGCACCGGTATATATACGGGTACAGTGTCCAATCATGTTAAAGTAAGCAAGGCAAGCTGATTGGCTAACATCATCAGTTGCCAGGCAGACTATATTGTTGAGCGGGTTGTTTACGCGGTAAGCAGGAAACTAACATATTCGATGGGAGGGGTAATCTACCTCAGGCTTTGCTCTTTACCACAGGCCGCACGTCCGCCGCGCAAGGCGAGCTATCACAGACGCGGCTCCCAACATCTCCCCCTATTTTATTTTTTATGAATGTGCGCATCGTAGCCCTTCCTGGACTGGGTGCAGAGGCTTATGCCCTATGTGTAGGCCCACCGTAGGTCCTTGGCTTAGACCCTGGTTGGCCATGCCATGGTCTGCCAAGGCCCTGAGGCCCTCGTCCTTTTTCTAGGGCCAGGCACAAACTGGACGGAACCTGGATGCACACAAGCTTGCACTCATTTCCTCTCCGTAAAGAAATCCCCTCGGAGAGAAATTTAGACCTGGGCAGCATCTAACAGTCCAGCGGCTTACGTGCAGGATGGGGTAGGGCCTGGCTTAGGTCGAGTCGTGCTGGGGAGGCACGCTCTTACCCGTCATTGACTCACCTACCCTGCTGTGTATTGTCACCTTATGGAGGAGAATGAGGGATGCCCGCCATATCTAGACTCGGTCGTGGGCCAATTGAGCAAGCCATGCATATGCCTGAGGATCTTCTTGTCCATTTCGGGCTACCGCTATTTCTATTCATCTTATTGGTTGGTCTGTGATGGATCTCCAGTAGGGCAGGTCTGATCTTCAGTCGAGGGCTTTGTTGCCCGTGTCAGTCTCTCTGGTATCCACAGTGGTTCTCGTCCCGGTTCCTGTGGGAAAACACAAACCGCGCCTCGGTTCCAGCTGACCACTGGATCCGGGCCCATCCATTGTCCTGTCAGGACATCTTTCCACTTCACCCACCCTTTATGGTTGGGGGAAGGGTTGCAGTGCTCCACAGCTGGGGAGCGATTATCATTATTTAAATTTAAAAAATTGTGTGTGAATAGTGCCATGGATAATCGTGCCTTTGGGGCCAGGCCTTGGCCTACTCCCCCTTTTTGTTTTTTATTTTTTATTTTTTATTTTTATCTTTTTCGTTTTTTTTTTTGTTTTTTTTTTTTTTTTTTTTTTTATTGGTACCAGGGATCGAACTGGCGATTGCCTGCTTACAAGGCAGGCGCTTATGCCGCTGAGCTAGATCTCCAGCCTCCATTTCCTCGACCGGCGTTTTTCTCAGCCTGCTCGGCAGAGAACTCTGTGTACCAGGCTCGCCAATCCAGGTAACTACCCGAGGGCAGACACGCCTTTGCCAGCTGAATCCAGTCCGCGGGGGTGAGGGGCCCAGAAGACAGATTCTCCAGCATGGCAATGGTGTAAGGCGCAGTCGGCCCAAAGGTTGTAACTGCATTTTTAAGTTCTCTAATCTGCTTTATCTCAAAAGGCTCCCATACATTGCGTCCCTGGCCCATAGCTACTTGTACAGGAAATATCCCGTAGGGGCCACTATCTATCCCAGGTGGATGTACCTCATGAGACAAGCGTCCCCCCTGCCAAAGCCGCCTGTAAAAATACCGACCCGCCGGCGGCGGAGCATAAGACAGCGGCCGTGATTGGGCGGAAAATGGGGGCCCGTGCATCACTTCCTGTTCTGGCGAAAGGGGAGAGAGCTCCCAGGCGGCCGCCTCGTGGCGAGGAATCGCCTCCGGAAACGGCCCCCAAGGTGGGGCGGAAGGCTTCGCCTCCCTCTCGCACCGGGGAGCGCTCAGGAGCTCTCTACTCCTCCGCAGACCAGGTTGAGCAGAGCGCAATTCGCGGGGCAACGCTGGAAAAGAACCCTGCGACTCCTTATTGAGCGACTTAGGCTCCTGACAGCTGGTCTCTTTGGCCTCCTTGCCATTCAACTTTCCCTCGTCCTCGGAGTCAGACGACTCCGAGGCTAGAGCCCCGTCCTTCTCCTTAGCATCCTTGTTCCCCTTGACGGACCCCTCTCGGGAGCTCCCTGACTGGGCCTGCTCAGATACCCTGCGTACTTTTGTAAGCTCTTGAGAGCTTTCTCCACAACCACCCTCGCTCTTAGTGTTGCTACCTAACATGTTTCCCATCTTTTAATATGTTACTCACCGCGTGAGGCCCAAGGAATCCGCCACTTACGCGTGAGCCTGAGGGGAGTCTAAAAGCCCTGTAGGTGCGCGCCACCCAGAGCCCAGGCTTATCCCCAACTCACCTGTCTCGCAGCTCTGTACTGGAGCGTTGTCCACTTCCACGTCTCGGGGGTGATCAGTCCCCGGGCGGGCCTCCAAATGTCGATGTCCGCTCCCGGCCGGCAGGAAGGACACACGACAAAGTCTGGTAGTGGACAACCTTTTCTTTTTATTTTTCTTCTCCGTACAGCCTGCCCTGGGTTCTCCCAGCTGAAGCCTCCTCTGGTCCGCTCCCCGCGGCTCCTTTTGTGCTTCAGTCTGCCCCAAAGCCTCTACCGGTCCGCTCTCCGCGGCTCCTTTTGGGCTTTTACTTCTGGGCTTCTACCTGGCTTCTTCTTCCGCCCAGGGGTGGCACCGGTATATATACGGGTACAGTGTCCAATCATGTTAAAGTAAGCAAGGCAAGCTGATTGGCTAACATCATCAGTTGCCAGGCAGACTATATTGTTGAGCGGGTTGTTTACGCGGTAAGCAGGAAACTAACATATTCGATGGGAGGGGTAATCTACCTCAGGCTTTGCTCTTTACCACAGGCCACACGTCCGCCGCGCAAGGCGAGCTATCACAGACGCGGCTCCCAACATTCCATCCTGCTCTCCTGCCGCTGCTGAGGGACACAGCCCGAGGCTGAGCTATTTAGAAGTCCTACTCCTGGACTTGATGTTTTGCAAATACAAGGCCAGATGTTCTAATTCAGAGAGAAATGAATAAAGGACATGCTGGAGTGAGTCCGTGTTACTAGGAAACTCAGGCATGCGTGAGAAAAGAGGCCCTGTGAACCTCTTCTGCCCCTTGTTATACCCGAAGCATTTGAGGTGACCCAGCACAGGCAGGGAGGGCCACCGGTTCCTGCTCTCAGGTGGACACAGGACAGCACCACCTCTCCCTGGGTCAGGCTCTTTCATTCACCAGCTGTTGTTGCTTCATTTTTCAAGTGAAGAAACCAATAGAAAATGCTTCTTAGAGTCGGAGTTGTTCTGACCATCAGATTGATTAATATCAGCAGAACACTTAGTAATGCTTGACTCATGGTAAACAGCCAAGTGGTGTGATTAAAAGAGTGAAGACTGAGAATCCATGAGCTTGCTAATGCTATAAGCAATGTGTCACATTGTGCAAAGGAGAAAAGCCTTCACAGGCGGGCGCTGCTTCTCAGTGCCGAGGCTGAGCAGAGACCACCTTCCTGGTCCGGCACACAGGCCGCGAAGATGGGACACATCAACCTTCTGGGAGGCTCAGCTGCAATACTGGGCACTGCCTGAGCAGCCACTGGGCCGGAGAGGCACAAGGGAGAGGTGTGACCATTAATCAGGAGTCCCAGGACACTGCAGCCCTGGGTGGACTTCTCCCAGAACTCAGAGCCCCAGCAGGCATTCAGCGAGAAGGCCCAGAGCTGTCACCGGC